CTTGATAATGAGGCACCGAAAAGGGCATAACACCACTTTGGCAATAATCTTGCCAAAAAGATATAAAACCTCTATTTAATCATGGGAAAACATCAGATAAACCCAAGTTGAAGGATATTCTACAAAATAACTGCCCAATACTCATTAAAAGTGTCAAAGTTATGAAAGACAAGGAAAGATTGGAGGAGATTAAGGAGACAACCAAATGCAATTTGGAATCCTGAATTGATCCTGGAACAGAAAAGACAAAACCAACAAACAAAAACCTAGAGAAATCCAAATAAGATCTGTAGTTCAGCCAATAGTATTGTACCAATATTAACTTCCTGGTTTGGATGAGTGTGCTATGGTTACACAACACTTTAACATTAGAGGAAGCTGAGTGAAGGGAGTATATTTGGAACAGGAAACTCTCTGAACTATTTTTGCAACTTTCTGGCAAGCCTAAAATTATTTCCAAATGAGAAGTTAAAGTTTGAAAAAGCCAAAAACTCAAGACAGAGACTCTCTCCTCTTGACAAGGGAAGAAAAGTTTGAAATGTTTAAGACCATCTTTGGAGGGTCAGGCAAATTGACAGGATAAAGATCTTTGAGAACATATTGTAGTTTGGGTGAGGAATTTTATGGATTTTATTTTGTCCTCCTTTTCCCATTCTCCACCAAAATATCTTGCTTTTCCTTGACAAGTGCAATTTAAAAATTGTGTTGTATTTTAAATGTTATCATTATAAAATTCTGAGCACACAGTTTTTCCTATTGAGAACTCATTTTCAACTTTACACGGAGAGGAAATGAGTTTTGATTCCCCTAGTTATTTGTGGTAGTCTGCTTTCAGGGACTGTATGTCATCTTTTAAATGAGTCACAGTGTATCTGAATCTGGTATAATTAATTAGCCAATGTCTACTTACCACTTGCTGAGAACTCGGAACATAGCTGCAATCCTCAATAAGCTCACAATTTCTTTGGGGGAACAGGGTGAATATAGAGAAATCAGGGCAAAACCCTAAATGAAGCTCTGAATAAGGTCATGGTGCAGAATTTAAGCACTGTGGGAGGGCTGGAGTGGTCACAATAAGTTACCTGCATAGAAATTATTTGAATATCAAAACATCAAGTTGTATGCCTTAAATATATACAATTTGTATATGCTGATGATATCTCAAAGCCATTAAAGAAAGAACTTATTTGCTGTCAGTCTTGAATTGTAGGCAGAATCCACAGATGGTGGAGGAAAGGAGTCCAGATTAGGAGAGGACACGCCACTACTTGACTGGTCAATGAACAGCCTGCCTGGCGTGAGCAGTGGAAGTTGAGCTGAAGTTGGGTCAGTAGCCAGTAGTAGGGGAAAAGGAGAGAGTGGATTATGGAGACAACTAACAATGAGATCAAGGATATTAGATTACAAACCTGTAGCAGATAATAGAGAATCTTTGTAAGTTTGGGAACAGGGAGGCTCTTGTAGTAATCCACATGGGACCTGAGGCCTCACTAGGTTTGCATGTTGATAGCGGGGATGGGGAATGGATAGGACATAGAATATCAAAGGAAATATTAAAAATGTGATGAGTGAGAGAGATGGAGAGGAGTCACAGAGGACCTGAAGATTTTATACTTAGGTAGGTTAAGTGCCAGTGACACTGTCAGCAGGAAATTCAGCAGGCAAAGGAATTTATGGAAGAGGACATCTTTTTGGTGTAAAGTCTGATATTGCAAGAGATTCAAATAAAAATGTTTTAGTAGTAGTTTTTAAAACACTCATTTATTCAACAATTGCCTGTTTGTTGCCAGGATTTATGCTAGATGCCGGAGATACAAAAACCCATGATGTGGGTCTTATCCTAAAGAAGTCTGACAAAGACAGACATATATGCTATGACGGTAGGGAGGATGAAAGGCTCTAGGACAGTGGTTCTCAACCTTCCTAATGCCGCGACCCTTTAATATAGTTCCTCATGTTGTGGTGACCCCAAATTTCATTGTTACGAATTGAACACAATTAAAGCATAGTGATTAATCACAAAACAATAAGTAATTATATATGTGTTTTCCGATGGTCTTAGGCGACCCCTGTGAAAGGGTCATTCGACCCCCAACGGGGTCTCGACCCACAGGTTGAGAACCGCTGCTCTAGGAGCACAAAGGAGGGACAGTTTCCCAAGGTATTGGGAATCGGGGACTAGATATCCGGTTAAATATGGAAGATCTGAAATTTTGGGGCTCATCAGAAGTGTTAAGTGGAAGCCTAGATTGGCTAAGTTCAATTTTCATGAGGGACAAAAGGCAGAAGGCCCAGGTGTGAGCGCTGCTGAGACTAATGGTGAGGGGGTGGGAGAAAGTCGGGAGTCAGCGAGGGAGAAAGCACTGGGAAAGTTGCGGGAGACTCTGTCCTGGAGCCATGGACGGTGAAGAGTTTTCAAGGAGTGGAATTTGCCAATTGTTTGAGTTTCAAAACGGCTTGGAGGGGATTGTTTCAGTGGAGTGGAAAGGGCAGACCTTTGAGAACAGCCAGAGAGGGAATGAAAACATTGAGCACTCATTTGAAAAGTATGGTAATAAAAGAAAGCTAAAAAATGGGAAGGTAACCAGAGGGGGCGCTGTGAGTGAGTGAAGTAGTCTTTTCCACTTGTTAACTCCATTCCAGCCTCCAGGCACTGTGATGGGTACTTCACATATATTTCTCTTTTACCCTCACAACTTTTTAAGTGGATATTATCTATGTAGCAAACATTTATTGAGGGCTACTTGGTGCCAGATAGTGTTTCAGGTGATGAGGCTACAGTGGGAGACAAAAATAGATAGTTTTTGCCCTGTATTGTCTCAGGGAGAATTGACATTAAGTGAATTATGTCACATATTATGAAAAATTGTGATCAAACAGGGCTGTGCTCCAGTTCACCTTTCCCCTGTGAACAAAAGTTTTACTGAACAAATTAATAGAGGAAAAGCCACGAACACTTTTTTTTTAAAGTTCCAGTTTTCAGAGAAGCGTGCAAATGGGCACACTGGGTTTGCTGTAACTTTTAGGGCACTTGGTTGTGAGCACTAATGTTAGATGACTTCAGGTGGAAGCTTGTTCTGCTGCCTTCTGGAATCTTTTGACTTATCAAAGGCTTCTTTCCAAAGTCAAGAATGGTGCCAAGAGTGAGCTCTGAAAGTGACGGAGCTGCTTTGGCCCTGAGCCTGGGGTGCTGAGTCAGGTCGACCAAATGTCTCCTCCACTCCAACCTCTCAGGGCAGCCTGGAATTTAGCACCCCAAAATGCTCCTTACCAGGGGGATCCATTGAGTTTCCCTGGCAGCATTGCCACTCCAGCCTCTGGAATTTCTCACTTGGTCTTAACACCCTATTTCTGTTCTCCTAACTCCTAATTATTTCTTTTTTGCCCAGACCATAATCTCTGTTTTTAACCTGCCTGGTTTCTTATTGTTTCTAAGTTGGTTTCCATCTCTGGAGAGTCAGGCTTCCACCATCTGATGTTTCATCATTGACCCCCTACCCCTTATCTAGGAATAGATGCCCCTTATCTGCCCCTTTATATGAAAGCAGGTAGACTTTTGAGGTTGGTTCAAGTGTTCTACTATGGAAATAAACCCAGAGTTATCTGGGTGTGGTTTTGAAGTGAGAAGCCAGCTGTTTTCCCAGACATTTCTGAGCGTCTAAGTGCTTTCAGGTCTACAGGTGAACGTGTCTTTCAAGTTTTGTATCTTTTCAAGACCATGGAATCAAGTCGTCATGATCAGGTTGAAATTATTCATTATTATAATACATTTGAAAAATTTGACTGTTAGGTAGAAAGGCATGATCACCAAACCAGAAACAAGTAAAATTAGGATTCCAACGTGGACCCATTTTATTCTCCATCTGATCAGTGTGCTCTCCTGTTGGCTCAGCCGTCCCTGAAGTAGGTTTCAGAGTGTATAAGTGGAGACTCTTTGTTTGTCTGAAACTAACCAGGATGTAGCATCTTTTCCCTCACATTCTCATGGTGTTATCGGCTCATTACCTTTGATTTATTGAAGAGTCTGAAGCTCTCAACTGCAAGAGGGAACTCTCCCTTACTCTCTGATGTCCTGAGATATTTTCTCCTCTCCTAATTAAGAGTTTTATTAAATCTCTCCCCCCACTTCCTAATAACCTAAGAATATCACCTTAAGTGACATTTAAAAAAATATATATTTTATTGATTTTTTACAGAGAGGAAGGGAGAGGAATAGAGAGTTAGAAACATCGATGAGAGAGAAACATCGATCAGCTGCCTCCTACACACCTCCTACTGGGGATGTGCCCGCAACCAAGGTACATGCCCTTGACCGGAATCGAACCTGGGACCCTTCAGTCCGCAGGCTGACGCTCTATCCACTGAGCCAAACTGGTTAGGACCTTAAGTGACATTTTAAGCCTTTCATATGTAAAGCAAGTTACCACAATTATGACAAAACTGAACTTTATTCTTGCAGGCATTTAATGTTTTCTTTGAGTTTTGGGGAGGGCTGGTCAACCCCATTTACAAAAGAATGTATTTTGAGACCCACACACTTGGCAAGGGAGAATGCTTATTAGAGAATAAACTTATTTTAATTGCTTATTTCAATGTGGCTAACTGCTGTTTATCCTTTAATATGTAACTCAGGCATTACTTCATTTAGGAAGCCTTCTCTGAATATCCCCATTGACACCCAAATTCCCTGGGTGGGCAAACCAGGATATATGGTCACCTCTATAAAGATCTGCCTAAATCTCAAAGTGCTTACCATGTTGATTGATCTCCTATAATCACAGAGCATCAGTAAACAATACAAAGCAAAAACAAAACAAACCCTAAAAACTATGGGTACCATTTCATCCAATGGTTAAATACATTTTCTCTGGAGCAGACTGCCTGGGTTCCAACTCTCCCACTGACTGTGTAACCGTGAGCAAATCCCTTAACAATCGGGGCCTCGGCTTTCCTCATCTGCGGAATGGGAATAATAGTGGCATCCACCTAACAGGATTAAATGCATTACATACACAAAGTGCTTACAACAGTGCCTGACACAAAGCACATGCTACACAATGACCATTTATTATCATGGAATGTGGTTGGCCTAGAAGAAGAGGTAGAATTTGAACTGGAGCTGAAGGTTAAGCATGACTGGGTAAAGACAGCTATATGCCAGTGAGTGTGTAACACACATTTTTATATGGCTGTAAAGATAAGCAGTTAAGGTGGTGTAAATAGTTGCATTCATTTTATTTCTACTGGTTTCCATGCGTTGGAGAAGTAATTCTTTCGGTATTTGGCTTTCTCCTGGCCTCATGACTGACACTGACGTGTTGATCATAGTGTTCTTTCCGGTGAGCAGATGCAACCTCAGAATGTGTCTCAACAGGTTCCTCAGGGAGTGCCTTCCAGTTTGGAGGGACCAGAGAGATAAAAACACAGATGCCATCCCCAGGTGAGTCCTTCATTTCACAGTAGGGAAACCTGGAGCCTACAAAGGTGAAGTGAGAACTGGAAGTTGGGTTTTACTCCTCGCTGGTTAATAGTTCTTTTTCCATCGTACATGACTGGTGTTTCTTTTTGTATCACACGTATCATTGGCTAGCTTAGTTTCTAATTAGAATGGCTTCGGCCACCAGTTATATTGGTGTAGCACTAGACAGTTAAATATATATCTATAATAATAAAAGTGTAATATGCTAATTAGATCAGACATACTTCTGGACGAAGCTGGGGCTGCAAGGGAAGCCCAGGTTCTGGGTGCCACAGGGAAGCTGGTGCCCACAGCCTGGGGAAGGAAGGCCTACTCTTGCATGAATTTTGTGCATCGGGCCTCTAATATTTATATATATGTGAGCCTGTGTGTATGTATGTGTGTATATATAGTTAAAAGTTTATAAGTAACAGAAGTGAAATGAATGAATCACTAAAGTAGTAATTAGTAAAAGGGTATTGTGCATACACCAAAAAAAAGACAGTTTGTGACCTGGGAAAGCTCAAACCACAACATGAACTGAGGCTCAGAGTGTGTCCTTGTAAAGCATTTTATAGAGTGGGAAAGTCGTGACTGTTTCTTCTTCACAGTGATTGGTTATCAAATTAGACTTTTCTTAAAATGATAGGGAATTGGTTAGTGGTTACCTAATACCAATTTTTGGGAAACAATTTTGCTTATGATTTCCAGAGGCATAAGCAAGAAATGACCCAGGCGAAGTTAGTCTTGCACAATAAGCTAAATTACGCTTTGCTTGAATGAGTCAAGTAATTCTGTCTGCTCAGGGAATTTTCAAGGCTGGTGTCCATATGTTTTTGATATTTACAATATCACATATACATCGTGCATATGTATGTAATATACCACACATTAAAGATGTATTGCTGCCAGTGATTGAAAACAAAAGGAAGCAGGGCACCATCATTTGCCCGCAAGATGCTCAGCGTTCCAGTGAGATGAGTAAGCCCAGCAGGCTCTGAGCAGTGCTGATGGCTCTGTCTGTCTGGCTTAACCCAATTATCCTGACGTGATCTTGTGCTCAGGTTGCAAATGAAAGAGCTCCACCAGGCTCATCGGCATGGGCTGCATGCATTTGGAGCTTCATGCCTACAAGCTCAAATTGGGATATTTTACTGCTTTTAAATGATGCGTGATGAAATGATTGAAGACATCATTACATGGAATAAAATCCAGCGGGGAGTGTGATATTATTAACTACTTAGTACTTCCAGCTCTCGTGGGGGTGTTTAGTACTTGTACTCAGGGAACGGCAGGGAAATCGTGTCTGTTGCAATTAAGACTGTATGTAGAGAAAACAGTGGGGCCTTGACCATAACGTAGACATGTTCAGGGAACCGGCGAGTGGGAGAGAGTCAGTGGAGTGTCCAGCTCTCGGCTGCATTTTAGTGACTTAATTAGCATTCACTGAACCCTGGTAAAGAGGTTCTCCATTTCCGCTGAATATTAGAGTCACCTGGGGAGCTTTTTAAACCATCAGACTTGGGGCAGGGGCGCTCCAGGGATTTCGATTTAATGTTTCTGGCTGAAGCCAAGCATCAGCGGTTTTTAAAACTCCCAGATGATTCTAATGTAGAGCCACAGACGAGAACAAATGGTTTGGTACTTGAGGAGCAAATATCAATTAGCCAGACACCTATTTTGATCCTCCGCCTTTTTAACAGTGCTCACGTGGGGATTGCCTGGAGCGTAAATTCCCAGCAGGAAAGAAGAAGCAACAGGCAGGAGAACGCAAGGGAGGACCAGCAACAACATCCTCACTGCTCCTTCGGACGTTCAAAACTCTCCTTATAGGTGAGCCACTCTACACAAATCATGTCTGGAATAGGACTCCATGCAGCCTAAACTGGGATAGTAAGTTTATGAATGTATTCATCTCTCTGTGCATTTAGTGAGCTTTTACCAGAATTCCTGGGAACACACAGGTCCATGCCCTCCGGAAGCAGCGCCTGCGTAAGTGGAAACTGACCGGGGAGCGGCACAGCATGTGTGCAAGTGGGCAACAGACTGCTTGTTCTGCCTCCTTCCGTGGAGCAGGATGCGTTAGGGAAATGTAACTCAGGGCTGGGGAATGGTGTCCCCTTTGCATGATGAGGTGCAAGAGATAAGCTACTAGATGGGGTCACATTTGACAGGTAGCTGATTTTCTTGGATACTTTGCCTATTGCCTAGACCAGAGCGCGAACCACTTCAATGTTGTTGTTTTTTATTCTGTTCAGAGCTGCCTGTCCTCACATGCAATCCCTTTTCCTGGTGAAAATTGAGATTGCAGAGAAGGACAGTAAACTTGCGCTGCATGTAGGAGAAGGCAGGTGAGGGCCAGGAAGAGGTTAAGAGGCCTGAGGGCCTGTGGGGGAATCAGAGGAAGGTTCCCAGTAGGGTGGGTAGGATGGCTACTGAAATGCAAGCCTCTCCCCTAAACCCACCACCCACCAAATGAACTAGATTTTCTCTCCCAGTTCTCAGGCAAAGAACTGATTGGTTGCTGCTTGGAGTTTTGTGTATTTGCTTGCTTGCTTGCTTGCTTGCTTTTATGTACTGCATTCCCTTTCTCCCACAGCAGGGATGAATAGTGTTAGGGTTACAAAGGCCTTAGACTGTCAGGGCAGGGACAGGGTCCTCTCAATCACCAGGGAACGCTTAGGAAAGCTGAAATGCTGAATCACTAGAATGTCATGGACTGTTGCCCTTTTCATGGGAAGAATTGCTGAGAGACTTCAGTCCCCAATTTTCTAACGAGGTTATTGAGAAGTAGTGATGGAGAGGGGCTGGGGATGGTGAGAGGCAGAGGGATCCTTGTAAACCAGGCCTTGGAGGGAAGGCAAGAGCGACTGGAGGGTGGAGAGAAAATCAATTGCCTGGTTGTGCAGAAGATTTCTTACCTGGGGCAAAAGTGAATTAATTTAACAAAAGAAACTAAAAAATTAATATGAACAAGATATAATTTAGATATGGTTCATGTTAGGGAAAAAATATGCGAGATCAGGGAAGTTCATGGAGGGACTAAGATGGAAGAGAGGTATTGCAATTTACTTGGAAGCGAGGGCCTTCCAGTATGAACGTAGAAACTAGAGGATAATGCTTCCTTTTCTTCCCTCTCCCCTCTCCTCCCTGGTCTCTCCCTCTCCCTTTCCTCCTCCTCCCTTTTTTCCATCTCACTACTGAGTGGGAGTCCGAGCTGAGTGACAACAGGCTGTCCTCAATCACTGGTCCCAGTGATCCACACAGTGCCAGCCAGGGAATTCACCTGCCCTGTGTGGCTGTGCCAGGCAGGGGCTGGGAGGGTGGGACGTGAGGGGCTCTCCTCTATTTTGCAGTCTCCCCCTCCGCCACAATCAGACATCTGGATTAAGCGCCTCCTCTGTTAGAAATACAATAATTAAAAGGAGCCATTTGAATTTTGAATTTCATATGGATTAAAAGTTTGAGAGAAGTTTGGATTTTACTCAAATGCAGCCCCCAGGTGCTCCACCATCCTCAGCCCTCTGTTGCTTTTTCTCCAGCACTCTGCTGTTTTTTTCATAAGATCGTACAATTCATAAATATTTTGTTTGCATATTTTTTCTTGTGTCATCTTGCCTACAGAATTGTATGATTCATGAATTCAGGGATTTTTCTGTTTCTGTCTTGTTCATCTTTGTTTTCTAGTGGTAAGCTCAATGAATAGCATATGGTAGACTTCCTCCTCAGCATTTTTTTAAATAAAAAATTCAAACATGCAGTAAAGTTGGGAGAACTTTACAATTAACACCTTACTATCTACCACCTAGTTTCTACTGTACTTCATCACTTATTTTCATCTCTCTATTTCTCTATCTATTAATACATGGTGGATTTGTAATACATTTGTTGAATGCAAAATGAATAAATGAATGTTACTCTTTGGGTCAATAGCCCGAAACTGTCCATTCTGAGGTTGGTCCAGTGCAAAGTGAGCTTCCTTGTTTCCGTGTGGAACTGTTATGTTCCCTGGGATGTGTATCTGCTAAGCTCCGTACCAGGCCTGGGGTAGGCACTGGGGATTCAGAGATAAGGTCAGATTTCCTGCCTTCTAGGGGCACATGCTCTACTTGTGAGAGGAAGAAAAGGTTAGTGATGAAAGAAGAAAATAGAAAATGTGGACTAATGATATTTTTTCATATATGACTTTTAATTAAAGACGACCAGTGTTATCTTGATGTTAAAACTGCCTTATTTCTTGACATTTTGTGTTTTGTTTTGTTGCACAAGTAGATAAAAGCAACTATAGACTTGGTTAATACCAATGAAGAAACATTTTGCGATTCCTAGTTTAGTGAATGACACATGCAAGCCTATTTCAACTATGAAACTTTGGCCTTTTTTTTTTTTTTTTTTTTAAAGCGTTGTATAACCATTGAAACATACACATAACAGAAGCCAGGGAAAAGCATGTAAAAAGTGTTTCTAATCCAGGCTATGGTCAAGGACAAGAGCATTTCTGCCTCGTCTGACAGAGCAGGCAGGGCAGGCAGACTTCCCTTCCGCAGATTGCCCCCCCCCCACCCCAATCATACTTGATTGTATGTTTTGTACCCTGTGTTTGTTATTTTGATTGCCTAGAGGAAATGCTTATCTTTAAAGTGACATCCTGGGGCTGTGGTTTGCAATATCCTTTATCAAGCTTGCTGTGTCTGTTCATATTTATTTTAATTCTTCTTTTTAGAAGGAGGATTTTAAGGTCAGTGCAGTACCTTTGTGATTGCATTCCAAGAGTACTTAGCAGGGGTCCACGTACTAAGGGTGTTGAATCATTGTGAACTGGGATTGCATCCAAGTTCATGCTTTAACTGAGAATCCTCTGTTAAATATTTAAAAGTGAAAGCAATCTTTCAAGAGAGGCATATGGACCTGGACAGCATAGAAATGATGAGCACAGTACGCGAGGAGGCAGCAAAGGCGGAAGCTGGGTCCTGGGCTTGTTGTGTCTCTGACCTCAGCTGTCTCCTTTCATTTGACGGGGTTCTGCTTTCTAATACGTGGTGACTCCCATTCCATCAGCTTTCATTTGCTCACGTTGTCCTCCCATGGGCTTTTGTGTGGTCCTGACCTGGATCTGCTTCCTGGTTTTGCCTCTAGTAGCTAAAGGACCTTGAACAAGAAATGTATCTTTTCCAAGTTCTATGTTCCTTACCTGTAACTGGGAGACCGTGACACCTACCTCAACATGTAAAACATGTCCACCATGGAGAAGACCTTTGGTAAATGTTCGTTTTAAGATCAGTTGCCACAATGGATTAATAAGAAATGATAATTTGAGGGAGAAATATGAATGTAAGCATCTAGTGCAATAGGAAGAAAAAGCAAATCTGAAGTGGATATTTTATTTATAAAATGAAACCTAATTTTATTTTGCAAAAATCAACAAATACATGTTCAGATCTGGTTTATCTTCAAACCATGTGCTTGTGTGTGTTTTTTAAAACAAACATGCAAGGTAATTTGGCATGCCAAACATCTTTCTCTCTAGCTCTTTTTGGAAATTTTTTTCTCCATAACACAAACAAGGGTGCAAATACTGTCCAAAAACTATTTATACTTTTACCCTCCAGTATCACTAATATTGATATTTATTGAGAGGAAAGAAAAACTTGATCTTTGGTATTCACATCTGATTCAGCAGTATAATTAAAATTTGCAAATGTTTTTATTTTTTAATTTTAATTAAATTTTTTTTTTTATTATTGATACCAGAGAGGAAGGGAAAGGGAGAGAGAGATAGAAACATCCATGAGGAGAGAGGATCATGGGTCGGCTGCCTCCTGCACCCCCCATATTGGGGATTGAGCCCGCAACCCAGGCATGTGCCCTGACCTGGAATTGAACCGTGACCTCCTGGTTCATAGGTCAACGCTCAACCATGGAACCACGCCGGCTGGACTAATTTTTATTTTTTAAAAAAATATATATTTTTATTGATTTCAGAGAGGAATGGAGAGGGAGAGAGAGATAGAAACATCAATGATGAGAGAGAATCATTGATTGGCTGCCTCCTGCACACCCCCTACTGGGGATCCAGCTCGCAACCCAGGCATGTGCCCTTGACCAGAATTGAACTTGGGACCCTTCAGTCCCCAGGCTGATGCTCTATCCCCTGAACCAAACCAACTAGGGCAGCAATTGTTTTTAAAATGAACACTTTGAAGGAAATTTAATAAATCTTGATTTTGCTCTGCAAAGGAGTATTTAACTGGAGCTGTCAAGTTCCTGCTGGTAGAATATTACTCCCAGCCTATTTATTAGCTTTCTTCCTGTAGCGCAATACATGCTCTCCCTCCACTGAGTGAAAGCACAGAAAAAAAACAATTTCTTTTCTCTCCCTCCCCCTTCCGCATCATGCAAGGCAAGACAACATTCACAGTCACAATGTCTGAATTTACTCTGATTATATTTTGTTTCTTATACGTAAAAATTATTTCGTATTATAATAATTACTGGGCTATCTAAAATCAACATTGTTGGTTTTAAATTGTTATAAAGCCAGACTTTTAGAGACATTTGAAACAATTCAGGAACCATGTCTGAAAGCAGATAATTGCCTTCAGCCTATTCTTTTGCACTTGGAATAAAAGGATTTTAGGTATCAGTAGTTGAGTAAAAAGAACAATACTTTAGGGGGCCCATATAATTTATTCACATCTTTATATTGTAAACAAGGATCTGATATTTTTGACAGTAGCCTATGAACACATTTTTAAAAATATATCCTTTAGTATAGAATAGGTATCAAGGGAGCAGATATTTTAAACACGATTCTGATAGGTCTCATAAGCCTACTTTCCAGAAAAATTTTATATGAAATTTCCTGATTTAAAAAAACAACAACTAAAGTCATAGATTTAAGTTGAGAAAATATGGTACGTGAGGTAAGGTCATTGTATTGTCTTGGTCTGATGCACAACGTAACATGTACAAAAGAACCTAAAGAGGCATCTATCACAAATTTCAGGCAGGACCTAGGAGTGCATAGAGAAGTGAGAGCTTTTTAGATCAGAAAGTGAAAGAAGACACAGTAATCACCTAAAACAAGGAGTTGTAAGCAACATATACATGTGCACTGCCAATTCACAGAACGCAACCAAGATCAACTCGAAAGTGTACTGTGAATGCCACAGATTTTGGAGAAAAATTCCCAAGCCAGGCGGATGTGGATTGGGATAAAAACATAGGCAGTATACACCACCATAGCAAAAATGGTTAGCAAGATGGTATTGAACATGGATTGCTCCCAGGGCTCCAAGACAGCACAGCAGCTGATGATTTGGTATTGATAGTAGAGCCAGGAGAAATAGTCCTTCACACGCCTGAAATCCATGGTTGGCTCCTTCAAGCTGCAGAAGGCCCGTCCTGTTAAAGAAGGCAACAGATTAGAAGAAAACTATGAAAGGAGCCACAAACAGAATCTGCTGAGGTTGTCATGATTTTAACATGATCATGGAAAGGGTTAATATGAATATTATATTGAGATATTATACACAATGTATCATAAAAATGAATAATATTGCCACTATAATCATTAACACTAGACAGCAACAATGTTATTAATGTAACATTCATCCAAAAATGATAATTCCTAGTAATAACTCTAGCGATAACAGTCTAAAAATTGAAGCTGACCACACTTTCTTTAGCCATGTATACAGAGAGAGAGAAACATGCATTTTCTGTTCTCTACAACATGTTCTGAAAGAAGATGGAAAGAATTGCGTGCAGAAGAGTTAATACAGCGACTCTGAGGCTGCTGTCTCTAGAAGGGCCTGGTGCAAGTTTGGCTTTTGGCTGGCGCCTGGGATCCTGGGCTGTGGAATGTTCTCTCTATTCTCTGATGGATAAAGATGATTCACAATCATCTTGCCTAGATTATGCAAACACTGTAATTAATGGTGAACACCTGCTTTATTCTGGGAGCCTGAAATTTTGCTCCTTGCCAGGAAGAGGATGGCCACATAACCAGTTCCAATAAGAACCTTGGTGTGGAGTCTCTAATGGACTGCCCTGGGCAGAAACATTGCACATGTATCACTTTTTGCTGGTCGAGAAGGGAGCATACGCCATGTCTACTCATGGGAGGGAGAGAGCATAGGCAGCCTGTAAATGGATTTCTTCAGATGTCACCAGTGTCTCTCTTCCCTTGCTGATCCTGTTGCATATCCTTTCATTGCTATGAACCATAGCTGTGGATACAATGTATGTTGAGTCCTGTTAGTCATTCTAGTGAGTCCCTGAGCATGTGGGTGGTCCTGGGGACTTCTGAAACAAATGGGAAGCACAACGTGTACCCTTGAGTAGTCATTTGTGGTTTTGTTTCTCCCCCCCCCCCCCCATAGGACAGCTATAATCACATGTAAATCTTCTAGAAAGAAAATGATCCCGGGGAAGGTTTTGCCGACTTTCGTTGACATTGTTGTGTTTGTGGGGAACAAGCTGAACATTGTGTTGTTTCGCTTACTCCTGAGATTAATGGTGCCACCTCATCTAAGTCCATTTTGATAACATTTACTATTCAAATCACAGTTAACTTTCTTTGAAGGTCATTTCTAAATTCTGACCTGAAGCTGTCTCTTTTTTCTCTGATTCTCCTTTGAGTCAGGCAAGATGTTTTTTGCTCCAATGTCTCAGACTTTGGGGAGACCCTCATGATCCTAGTGCCTGGCACAGAGATGGTCATCAGTCAATACTTGCTGAGTGAATGAGTGAAGGAATGAATGTCAAGTCACCAACTTAAAAAAAATATGGGTCACTCAGAGTCCCAGCTTGAATAGCATATGGTTCACTGCTGTCGACTTTCAGTAGCTTGGCTTTGATAAGTAACACTTTCTGATAAGGATAATTTCCACTTAAGATGGCAAAAAACTTAAGATGGCAAGTCTTTGTGTTACCAGGTCGTAATTCTCTGTAATAATGGTCAGGATAATTCAAATGAGCAGATAAAACAACTGGAGTTGTTTTACTTTCCTATGAAAAGAAAAGTCAGCCTCCCATCTTCCCTCAAAGCCAGAGTGGGAACTAAGTAGGGTGTAAAGACCTTGTCGTGGTAGGTGGACTTCGGTGAGAAGTGACTGCCAATGATTTTTTTTTTTAAAACTCCTAGCTCTGGTTGCAGAGAAAGAGCAATGACCCATGCTGTTAGGTCTGGAAGAAAATGAGCGACAGAAGGAGTGATCATTTCAGTGAGCGAAATTATATAAGCAACTGGGATTTTCCACAGAAAATTATAGGTTATCACTGTTTGAGCTTTTAGGCTATCTTACTAGACAACTGTATATGTCAAACTCAACCTAATTTTTTTAAAAATCTTATTCATGGCGACCCATACTTGTTCCCTCTTCATTATCTAGATAGGGTCTGGGGTGGTGCCAGGTAGCTGATCAGTACATGAGAGTACATTCTTCAGGGGTCAAGTTCCAGGCTAATTTTGAAGGTGGGAGAATGTACTCAGACAGGGAGAGACCCTCTGCTTAGGGAACTTGGTCCAGTTGGGGAGACAGGTAGCCATTAAATAATATATACATATATATAATTATCAATTACATTATTGAAAAGAGCTGAGCATAAGAGGCTATGGAAACCTGATCCAGTGTGAGCATATCTCTGAGGAAGAGATGTTTGAGATAAGATCCCAGGGATGATTGTGTCTAACAGAACAATGGGTAGTCAGGTGGGGAGAGAGGCCAAGACAGAGGGCTCAACTAGTGCTTATGCAAAGGTTAGAGGTGGGAAGGAGCTTGGTAGGTGGTCCAGGGGGGCAGGTAAGGGAGCATAGAGATCTAGTGAGGGAGTCCGGGAGTATGAGAAAATGAAGGGGAGGGAATGGTTAGAGTGAGGCCAGACACTATAGGGCCTAGTGGACAGGCTGAGTACTTGCTCTTTATCCTGTGAGTGAGGTTTTTAACACGGGAATGCTGTTAAAAGAGGATGAGGCTTTAGGCTCCTATGGACATGCTGCCTTCCCTGCACTCTAAAGCCAAGTTGAAATGATTTTGAATAATAATCATCTCAGAAAAATCGATGCCTCTGCTCTCTTATGGGCATTACTTATTTACAATCAACCCTGTACTGACAATCCATTTAAAATAGTCCTAATGATCTTTTCAATTTCATAAATGAGATAAATTACTCATTTACAAATATTATTTACTTTTTCTCTATACAGTTTAGCTTTTAAAAATGCACAAGTTAATTGCCTGGCCATTGCTTTCCCTTCTAAAATTAAATTTCTTGCTTGCACGTCCCTGATGGACACCTTGCCTGCAGGCCTGTTGAGAGACCCTGAGACAGAGGCACTGAGCTAAGTCATGCGCAGACACCTGAGCCATAGAAACATTCATTGCACTGAAGGTGGACGCCTTGTGAGACCTTGGTCACATACTGCTGGCAATTTAAAGAATTGAGATTAAAAAATTTTTTTCTTGCCAGTTCCTACAGTTCCCTGTATTGTTTTCCAGCCTTTTCAGTAGCCAGCTCAGACATATGAAAGATGCTTTATATTGTCACATCTCACTTTACTCTCATCAAATCTAGAGTCAGTCCATAAAAAGCAGTGATTTTCCCCTTTGATTCCTTTCCCTCTTGTTGATGAACAGCAATTTTAAAGATTGTGTATTCATTTTTTATTATGAAAAGGTGAGAAGAGAGAGAGTTGGTTATCATTGGTAAACCTTCTGCTACAACCTATTGTTAGAATATGCACTATATTTAGGTTCTACATTTGTAGGTCAGCGATTTTTCAACCTTTTTCCATCTCATGGCACACATAAACTAGTTACTAAAATTCTGCGGCACACCAAAATATTTTTTTTGCCAATCTGGAAAAAAAGTATAATTTTGATTCATTCACACTGGACAGATAGTGTTGTACTGGCTGTTGTCAGCTTTTCATTTGATGATCTAAGGGGAAGGAGGTCAGTGCCCCTGACTAAATATAGTCAGCGATTGCATGTTTTTGTTTTGTTTGTTAATCCTCACTTGAGGATATTTTTTCCCCATTAGTTTTAGAGAGAGTGGAAGGGAGGAAGAGGAGGGAAAGAGAGAAGAGAGAGGGAGAAAGATCGATGTAAGAGAGCCATAGTCTTGCAAAGACTCAAAGTTGAGCAAGGACAGTGGAATCAGGTGTGTAGGATACCTGGAAAACCTCAGCCCCACCCTCTCTGTTTCCCCAGACGCTACTCTTTCCTTACTCATGACTTTCCTGAAACCACAGAGTTCAGATTCTCCTCCGAGCTGAAGGATGATCTGGAGGTTTGTTTATTGCAAATATTACTGGGAAATGAAAAAGCTAAGGTTCTTGTTAGTAATGTTCATCTTCACATGGATAAAAGACCCAAAGCAGAGTTTTGCCAGATGGAGGGGAAGGAGAGGGAGGAGGATTATGAGTTTGGGGAGCCAGAGGGAGAGACTGAATCCTAAAGGGAACCCTGTGACTGGGTGGGGACACTAGGACAGTGGGAAATAGCAAGGACTTGAAGTCCACTAAGAATAACTTCATACCTGATTGGGGAGTAAGAGTCTGTCTTTCATTGCTGAATGTCACTGCTCTGTTAGCAACAAGCAATGACATTTTCCTCTCACTAGATCTGTGTACAGCGGAGGAGGAGGTAAAATTTCCTCTCCTTCCCCAGAATGAGAGGGAGAAGACCTGGACTTATGATCCACATTACTCAGGGGGAGGGCTTTGTTCTGGCCTGAATGGAGGAGAAAGTTAAAATAAATAGAGCAATAAAAACAACACGTGTTTACATGAGCCCTCGTGTGAGTCACGGAACGAGGGCACTGTAGGGAGAATATGCGAAGACGTAACAAAAGCAGAGTCTGGGCTTGCTCAGGACGCTCTTTGTTGTTGTTTTTGTCCATGGGAACAGGAGTGGTAGAAAGTTAGGCAACCTCAGTGAAAGATGAGTAGCAGGTGTTTGGGTAGGGTGGAATTTACCTGGGGAATATTTCAGAAGACTTGATCCTACAGCTCTCTTCCACCTACAGAAAGTACTCCAAGTTATTGGATTTTTTTTCCAGTAAGATGTTTTCTTTTCTAAGTACTAGATATAAAGGAATGCTAAAAGAAACAAAACAAACAAACAAAACCCCCCAACATATTTGGGGTTAAATTTACTTCTAAAATGTCAGAATCTGGAGTTGAAGAGAAAAGTCAGAAAGACCTAGCTGGTTCGGCTTAGTGGATAGAGCGTTAGTCTGCCGATCAAAGGGTCCTGGGTTCGATTCCAGTCAAGGACATCTATCTTGGTTGCAGGCTCCTCCCTGGCCCAGGCCCTAGTCAGGGCCCATGCAGGAGGCAACCAATTGATGTGTTTCTCTCACATCAATGTTTCTGTCTTTCACTCTCTCTTCTACTCTCCCTAAAAATCAATAGAAAAATATCCTTAGGTGAGGATTAACAAAAAAAGGACAAAAAAAAAAAAAAAAAAAAAAAGACCTACAATTGATTTGGGTTAACTTCTTTCCAACTTATTTTTTTTAAAAATATATTTTATTGATTTTCCACAGAGAGGAAGGGAGAGGGATAGAGAGTTAGAAACATCAATGAAAGAGAAACATCGATCAGCTGCCTCCTGCACACTCCCTTACTGGGGATGTGCCTGCAACCAAGGTACATGCCCTTGGCGGGAATCGAACCTGGGACCCTTGAGTCCGCAGGCCGACGCTCTATCCACTGAGCCAAACCGGTTAGGGCTTCAACTTATTTTGGAATTCCACATCAATCACTCAGCTTTTTGTGTGCTTCATACTTGGAACCTGAAAATCTAAGACATGAAAAAAAGTGTCCTCCTCTTGCCGAAAAAGATATATCTAAAAAGGGATAGTGTATTCAGAAGTAGCTTTCTTTGGAAAGAACTCAACATGACTTACTGAAGCTCAGACTTCCTTTAATTAAATTATTTATTTTAAAAAGGAGCAGAGTGCTTTCTTCCCAAAGACCAGTGTGGAAAGAGGGTTAAAAAAGAGTAAAATTATGGTGGGGAAGGCTACTTAGCACCACCTCAGCCAGCTGATCAAGGCCCACATCCACAGTGATAAATCCTGCTGATAGTACGTACCTATGGTATCATGCCGTGAAATGGTACCTTAGCTTTGTTAATCTTCCTCCCAGTAACCCAACACCCCAGTCTAATCATGAGAAAAACACATCAGGCAAATTCCAATAGAGGAGCATACTATAAAATACCTAACCAGTGCTCCATAAAATGCTCAAGGTCATCAGAAACAAGCCACATGTGAAAAACTGTCATGGCCCAAAGCGGCCTAAGGAAACACAACTAAATGTATTGTGTTATCCTGAATGGAATCCTGGAACTGAAAAGGGATAGTAGGTGAAAATTAAGGAAATCTGAGCAAAGTATAGGCTTTAGTTAATGATAGTGTTTATTAATGTAAGCTGTTACTAGGGAACTGGATGGAGCGTATATGGGAACTCTCTATACTATACAATTTTTTCTATAAATATAAAACTGTCCTTTTTTAAAAATATATTTTTATTGATTTCAGAGAGGAAGGGAGAGAGAGAGAGAGATAGAAACATCAATGATGAGAGAGAATCATTGATCGGCTGCCTCCTGCACGCCCCCTACTGGGGACCAAGCCTGCAACTCAGGCATGTGCTCTTGACTGGAATCGAACCTGGGACCCTTCAGTCCGCAGGCCGACACTCTATCCACTGAGCCAAACTGTTCTTAACAATAAAATCTACTAAATATTTTTAAAGGCAAAACAATAACAACAAACAAACAAACCCTACCACAACAACAAAAAACAAAGGAAATGTTTGAAAGGTCCAGAGTTATCCCTATTTCAAACTCTAGTGAACTTTGCTTATGTTGTTCTGAACTTCTGGAAAACTTTTTCTGAAAATTCTTAACAGAATTCAATAATACCCTTCCACAAAGGATTGGCATTCAAACATTTTTAAACACAATAAAGAGGAAAAGTACATTTTACAGTGTGATGCAGGCTACATTTATACACATAACCATATAACTAAAACAAACATCTCAAAATAGTTTGTTTAATTCTGGTAACATACATAAAATAGCAGTTTATTATCCTTACCCATTATGAAATGGACAGTTCAGGAGTGTAAAACAAACATCTCAAAATAGGTGCACGCTGATACTTTCTTTTTCATTCTGTTCTATTTGATTAGTTTCTACTGTATTTTGTTATTTTCTTTGTTCATAAAAAAACACCCTGCCCTGGCTGGTGTGGCTCAGTTCATGAACTCATGGGGAAAAACCAACTGTGAAGTGATGTTAAATTCCATTAAAATGGCCTTTACAAATACGTACTCTATGTGAGTAATAATTTAAAATTGGTAGGTAGAAAAGTGGTCCTAATGGGAAAAAAAATATCCCAGGATGGTAATATCTGGAGACATGAATTCTATTGCAGCTTTTTCTTTTGCTTATTTTCTTTTCCTTACTTTTCACTTCTCTTTTTTTCTCTATTTCTCTTCATTCATTCAATGATTCATTCACTTTACTTTGTGTCGTTGGGAAAGTTCCAAATCTCCCTGTCATGTCTTTCCTGTGTAAAATAAAGGTAAGTCTGTCTCGCTGATGAGATAAGGAGTGTAGGGAAAGGCTTTGCACTCTTCAGAAGTAATAGTAATAGCGATAGTAGTGTTTATTGTTGTTCCTTGTGAATTGGTACAATTTTAAACTATTTGCAACACTTTACTAAATTATAAAGTCAAAAAGTCCTTGTGGCATATTCCATAATGGTTACTTTAAACATGAAGTGCTTTGTATATTTTATAGGAAAAAAAAACCTTGGCCCTTTATTATGCTTGCTAATTGAAGTGCTTGGACAGTAAAAAACAAACAAAAAAGCCAATGCATTACCACAAATCATTACTTAAAAGGCACTGCAATCTCTGGACAAATTTTCAAGTGTGTTTTGGTCAGGGCCACCATACACTGCCGAGTGGGCTGTGTACTGCACAGTCTTACGTGGTGGCTCCTGTCCTGGGGGACGAATCACAAGCTGCTCTTTTAGGGTGATTCAGGTCCTGTGGTTAAGGGAAAAACCTCAGATCCATGTAAGAGTCAGGCCCAGCGTTAGCTTATTGGTTTCACAGTGTCCAGATATCTTGCTCTAAGTTTTCTGTGGGTGACTACAGTATTTTCTGTGCCCCGTAGAACGTTCCATCCTTGCTTAACATTTTCCTGGGAATTTTCTTTCCACCGTAGAGTACTCTCCAGCCATCCTTAGGTAAGCAATTCCTCATGCTGATACCAGGTTGAATATGAGAAGTCAGACCAGAAGTGATGGATTCAGAGCCCAAATCTTAGAGTAAGCTAAGAAAACCATTAAGAGTTGTAATGAAGCAAAGCCAGAGAAGAAAATCAAACAGCCATAGGGCAGTTAAGGAACTTTCTTTACCCATTCATGAAATTTTTAGACAATTCTATAGTCTCCTCAGAGAGGAAAAAAAAAAACCCAATCAATTGTAAGTCAAAGCATATTATTGCTTTTAGGCAACTAAATTATTCCTAAGTTTTATAATCTTTTACATAGAAGTGAGTTACAAAATAATGTACTAAAAAGAAAAAGTCTCACCAACAATTTATCCAAGTTGTTGTTGGTACAGTTTTGGTTTGAGTTATATACAAGAGCAGAGTGTTTTTGTGGCTATCTGAACCCCTTACTGCCTCTCATTTTTATTAACACTAACAAAAGCAGAACAATAGGAAACATGTATTTCTAGTCCAACTATCATTTGAGGCCATTGAACAACATGACATGTGTTGAGTAATTGTGTATTCAAAGCTATACTTATTATTTTTGCTTTTATTGTTTTCAGACTCCAGAGGTATTTATGAATAAAGGACTTCTGTTGTCTGGGAAGAAATTTTAGAATTTGATTTTAACAGGTATTTCACAGTAATTTAATAACTATTAAATTACTCATGTTGTGTGGCTATCAAAAAGAAGATGGGGTACCTTAATGTTGAGTAGATGTTATGACTAGGAAGAGAAATTTGTAATGGGGGACTGATATATCTTGTCCTGTTCCTAGTGACTTTTCATTTACTCATATAAAGACAGGGCAGTTACCCCTGTTTATTTCTGCCAATATTGGAGGGGAAAGTAGGGCTTCTGGGCCAAGTATTTAACTATAATGTCATTTCTTAGAATGAATCTCTTTATAAAAATCTGTTGAAAAAAAGAAAAAGAAACCCTGTTATCCAATAAGGAAAGAGGAAAGAGCATAGCTCTGGGTGGCTTTTTCCTTCTGAAGGTATTTTCCCAAGGACTATCACGCTGTTTTTAGAAGGGAAAAGTAAACCGAGCTGCAGCACTAACCATGGCCTTAAAGTAATGAAGTCACTAAATGTGCACACATGCTAAAGCAGCATTATTCACAGTAGCCAGAAAGTGGAAGCAATCCAAGCACCCACCAGCAGATGGGTGGATGAACAAAGCGGGGTAGATACATACAGTGAAACAGTACTCATCCTTAAAAAGTAAGGAAATCCTGACTCATGTTACGACGTGGAGGAACCTTGAGGACATTATGCTAAGTGAAGTCAGTCAGTCGCAAAGCAGATAAATAATGTCTGTCTTCACCTACATGACACATCTAGAGTAGTCGAACTCTAGATGAAGTGGGATGGCGATTACCAGAGGCTGGAGGAAACAGGATTGGGAGTTGCTGTTTAATGGGAATGGAGTTTCAGTTTTGCAAGATGAGAACATTGTGGTTGCACAACAATGTGAATATACTTAACACTCCTGAACTGCACGTTTCAAAACGGGTAAGAATAATAAACGGTTATTTTATATGTATTTTACCAGAATTAAAAAATTAAATATCAATGAATAACTCTAAAAATGATGAAGGACTGAAATTGAAAAATATACTTAGAAATAGTCTGAATAATATTTTTAAAAATTCATTGAGATTCTTAATTTGTAATGGGGTATTACTGGTTTGGCAAAATTTCATAGATGTACCATCCAAAACTGAGTAAACAACCCCAAAGATCTCCAAATAATAATTGTGAGTTCCCAATTGGAGTTCCCTTCTTTTTGTGAAAATTGGGAGCTGCCAAAGTACCAAAACACCTTCTGAGAGGAGGGTTGACATGTTTAGTTTTCTTCCTGGCATCATTGAACTTCTAGTAGCTTAATTTCCTACAGTACTTGTGGAAATGATAAATTCTATGATGTGCCCATCTATTTTTTTTTTAAGAATCTGAAATAAGGGGCTCATAAGACCCCAATACTCACTGCACTTGAAAGGGAGTAAGAATGGGAAAAGTTGCTAAATCATTCGGCTGAAACTACTTTTCTGTCATGACAAACCCCTTTCCTGAGAACTGTGTTCCATGCATATCATAGCAGTTCTGCCTTTCTCCTTCATTACCAGCTCTTGGCCATCAAACCCAGGATTTGGGAAAGGAACTACTAGCTTACCGTGTGGTTCTAAGGACTTGGTTTTCGTAGGAGCTAGATGCCAGACCATGAAAAATTAAGCTTTTATGTCATCTCTATCTATCAGTTATATTTGATGGTCTTCGGAAGCAGACTTTGTTCAAAGAACAAACTGAGGGCCAGGACAGGAATTTGCTGCAGTACCGACTTGTCCAAAGCATACCCACTGAGCCCTGTTCCCAGAGTTCTATCAAAGGAATTCTGGTTGCATAGGTAGTTGGTCAACCAAAACCCTTCCAATAGAATTTTCTTATACTAATTTTCTGTTTTCTTTGTAATTTTTTTTTTTGTAACATTGAATACATTTACTCCTAAAACCTTTTGCTTTCCTATTGTTCTTCTTCCTTTTCCTCCTCATTCTTCTGGCATATTCTTTTTTCTTTTTTTCTTTTTTTTAATAATATTTTTCGAGAGAGTGGAAGGGAGGGGGAGAGACACACAGAGAGAAACATTGATGTGAAAAGACACATCCATTGGTTGCCTCTTGCATGTGCCCACACCAGAGCTGGGATGGAGCCTGCAACTGAATACGTGCACTTGACCGGAATTGAACACAAGACCCTTCAGCCCATGGGCCGACAATCTATCCACTGAACTAAACTGGCTAGGGCTCTTCCGGCATATTCTTTATTTCTTATTCCACAATCTGGAAACTGCTAGTGACAGGTTCAGTGTTGTTCCTATTTTGGTGACTAGCAACACTGATCTTTCATAGGAGTGATTTTTGTGACAATAGCAATGTAGCCTGTTACTTGTTCACAGCCCTCAGCTGACCTACTTCTGTATCTCAGTTATTACTGTGTTTAGGAGAATGATTAGAGAGCTAGGCTTTCTCTAGGAGTCTGCATTGTTGCCATGTTCTCTCTGAAAACCCCCAGACCCAGGGGCATTTCCCTACTGGGCTGGTTAACATTCCAGGTCAGCTAGTTACTGAAGTGATGGGGGGAGGCGGGGCGGGAGGAGGAGAGAAGGGAAAGGCAGGAGTTTATAGTTATGTCAAAACTTGCCTTTAGGCAATTACATTACATACTCTAATTACACTTTGTGATCTTGTACTTAGGAGTGAGCTACTTAAATGATAAACTGTACTAAAAGAAAAAAAGCTTGCTGACAATTTAGCGAAGTGGATTTTTCATTCTCCTGAGAAGAACAGTGAGGACACAGTATTTACTGTTGGTTTCCTCCTCTTTTGCCTTATCTAAGTGCATGGCGATGGGTACGCTTGTAGTGAAAAGGGGGGAAGTGCTGAACTCCAACTTGTTCTTTTAAATGGGTAACAATGGTTTGTTTCCTAAAAACTTTGTTCATTCTCAAGTAAACTTAGAGAAGGCTCACAACAACTGGGCATATTAGGAGAAATATTTTCAACCAAAAAATTTTGTAAATGATAAAACTACAGGCCTAAACTGGGTGAGACGAAATGTTCTTTTCCCCTCTTTGAATGAATGTGGGTTTGTTTGTCAGGGAATATCCTAAGACATAAAGATATTTGGATTAAGCCCAGCCGGTATGGCTCAGTGGCTGAGCATAGACTTATGAATCAGAAGGTCATGGTTCAATTCCCGGTCAGGGCATATGCCTGGGCTGAGGGCTCCATCCTCAGTAAGGGGTGTGCAGGAGGCAGCCAATCAATGATTCTCTCTCATCATTGATGTTTATGTCTCTCTCTCCCTCTCTGAAATCAATAAAAATATATTTTAAAATGATATTTGGATTAAGATACATGAATCTTATCATGTAGAAGTCTTCAGGAACAGAAACAGCATTTATTAAGTACCACTGTGGCAGGCACTGGTGGGTGCTTAACTTAAATGATTCCCATTTTTATTTTTTTAAAAACATATTTTTATTGATATCAGAGAGGAAGGAAGTGGGAGAGAGATAGAAACATCCATGATGACAAAGAATCATGGATTAGCTGCCTCCTGCAAGTCCCCCACTGGGGATTGAGTCTACAACCCAGGCATGCGCCCCTGACCAGAATCGAACCTGGGACTCTTCAGTCCGCAGGCTGATGCTCTATCCACTGAGCAAAACCAGCCAGGGCATGATTCCCATTTTTAAAATTAACTATACATATTGAGGTAACATTGGTTAATAACATTATATAAATTCAGGAATACAACATTATAATTTGATATCTGTATACTCTATTGCATGTTCACAGGCAAAAGTTCAGTTTCCACCTGTCACATATATGTGAACCCCTTTAGTTAATGCACCCCATGGTGAACACACAGGGAGCTGGGTGAGAATCCTGGCAAAAGGCAAGTTGGAGAGTCGTTAACAAGCTCTGGCTCTGGATTCTGTCTGGGTTTGACCCTGGCTCAGCTACTCCACAGCTTGGACTCTATTTCCTCGACTGGAAAATAGAAATGATAATAGAACTTCATATGATTTCTGGGAAGATTAAAAAGTGTAAAGTATTTAGGATAATACATAGGAAGGGCTAAATGAATGCTAACTGTTATGATTACTACACATTATGCTAATGCACTATTGCTAAGGCTATGAATACCAGGCAAAGAATAAAGGAGAATGAGATCATTTCTAAGGCACAACATAGGAACTTTATTAGTTATTAAATTACAAGTCTTTTTAAGAGAGGTTACTCTTCAAAATGTTTATTCATAATGTCATAAAGGAGATAAAATATATATGACCTCATTTCGAAGATTAGGAAACTGGGGCTCATTAAGTTTTTGTACCTCATTTATTGTCAAAGCTAAGGAGGACGTAATACTGGAATTCAGTCCTGGACTCTCTCGCTCCAAAATGGTTCATCACACCATACTGCCTCCCGTAGCAGTGCTGTCCAAATGCTGCGTGTCCATCAGATACTTTTTGAATTAGTAAAATCAAGCCTTATTATCAATAACTTTAAAGTAATATCAGAACTGCCCAGACTGTTTTTTCTGGTTATTTTATTTTTATTGATTTCAGAGAGGAAGGGAGGTGGAGAGATAGAAACATCAATTATGAGAGAGAATCATTGATCGGCTGCCTCGTGCATGCCCCAAACTGGGGATTGAGCCCCCAACCTGGGCATGTGCCCTGACCAGGAATTGAACCATGACATCCTGGTTCATAGGTTGATGCTCAACCACTGAGCTATGCCCGCTGGAAAAACTATTTTAAATGAAGAAATTGTTGTGAACCATTTCAGGACCATAAATCTTTTCTAGCAAAAGGGAAGGATTAAGAAACAATCATTCAGAAGATACATCTATTTCTTTTTTTTCCACACCCCCAACTCTTTTTTCCCCCATTGGCTATTGGTTTAATAAAAGTGAGTAGGCAGCTAGTGGTAATCTAGGTTTTTTAAAAATTCTAGTTCCTTTCCTTTTTTTTTTTTTTTTAAATAAAAAGAAACAGAAAGAAAATAAATTTCTATTATGAACACTGACCATCCCCACTTTTATTGTTAAGATTTTTGAAAGAAAATGTTTTCATCTTATATTTCTCTATTAATTTGTCCCATCTGGTTAACTAATAACTTATTAAAACATTACTCCTCTCTTCATCAAAGTTCCTCCAGAATAAGATGCTGCTCCATTTAAATAAAAGATGAAGGTTGTCGACACAGAAGCAGCCTCTAACCAACAGACCCAGAAATAAGATAGTAGCTGGTGCTATGCAAGCCCGATACTGGCACTTGTACTGGAATTGGCCAGAGGTTCTTAACCTGGAGGCCAAAAGTTGGGGGGTAGCATGGGGAACATGTATGAACTCCTTGGAATATTTGCAAATTTTGCATGAAGTTTTCTGCATATAGTTCAAAGGAACCTGTGTAATGCCTGTTAACTAAGAGCCAATGTTTCAAGGCCTCACTACTAAAGCTAGTTGCCACACTTTACCCCTTTGTGCCATCTTAAATGCCATTATAACATTGAGTATATAATATGTCTTTGTTAGCTACTTAAGTGGGAACCAGAAACTTCGTCTTGTTAAAGATGTTGTTTTATAATCAAAAGGGTCAGGTTTCTAAAAGCGAGACTCCATGGCATGATTAGAAGAATTTACCTGCCTAGGAGGGTCCAGGCTTGGGTTCTTGTTCTTGCTCCTCCACGGAATAATTCTGGGTTACTTCTCTCTGGGCTGCTGTTTCTTCATCTGTTAAGACAAACATTTGAATAAACCCAAAGATGTCTTCAAATTTTAAAACATTTGTGTTCCTTGTAAAAGATTATTAAACCTCTTAGATGGGTGTTCTCCCACAACATTTTAGAATGCATTATAAAAATAAGGGATGACAACCTAGTCTTATTTTAAAAATTACTTTTAGAAAAGGTTACAGTTTGAGGACATGCACCTGGCTACTGACTTCCCAATGTACTCTAAGGACTGTAAGGTGTCACATTACCATCTAGGGCGTGTCAGAGGTGACACGCGAACTCATTTTTTTAGTTGATTTTTCTTTGTTAAATGGCATTTAAATATATAAATATATAAAATAAATATAAAAAATGTAAGTCTTTGTTTTACTATGGTTGAAAATATCAAAAAATTTCTATATGTGACACAGCACACGAGTTAAGTTAGGGTTTTTCAAAATGCTGACATGCCGAGCTCAAAAGGTTCGCCATCACTGATCTAGGGCAAGGTTGAGGGGATGTCCCAGGTGGGACAGAGAGATGAGGCTAAGTGTCCCCCAATTTGCTTCTATCAAAGCAGCTTGCTTTTAGTCTGTTTTACCTACTCGGTTTCTGGAAAAGGTTTCTTGATTTTAATTAGTCTCTGTTGATACCCTTGGGTGGGGAGGAAGGAAACAGAGATTGCATTTTTTTTTTAAAATATATTTTATTGATTTTTTACAGAGAGGAAGGGAGAGAGATAGAGAGCTAGAAACATCGATGAGAGAGAAACATCGATCAGCTGCCTCCTGCACATCTCCTACTGGGGATGTGCCCACAACCCAGGTACATGCCCTTGACTGGAATCGAACCTGGGACCTTTCAGTCCGCAGGCTGATGCTCTATCCACTGAGCCAAACCGGTTTCGGCCAGAGATTGCATTTTTATTTAATCACTGTATTTAAAAATCTGTCTTTGAAAAAAACACTGGAAACAGAAACCCTAAAGCTTGTTTCTTTTTTTTTCTTTTATCCTCACCTGAGGACATGCTTAGAGAAAGGAATGGGGGGGGGGGAGAGGGAGAGGGAGAGAGGGAGAGAGGGAGAGGGAGAGAGAGAGAGAGAGAGAAACACATGAACATCGATCCCTTGCCTTCCGTACATGCCCCGGCCGGGGATTGAACCCAAAACCCAGGTCTGTGCACAGGACGATGCTCAACCAATTGAGCCACTCCAGCCAGGCAAGGCTTGTTTCTTATTTGTTGTTTATTAGCTGTATCACATCAGGCAATTCAGGTAGTCTTTTCTGAATCTCTGTCCTCACATGTAGAATGATGATAGCATCTTATTCAAAGGAGCGTTGTAAGAATTAAATGAAATAATTTTAAGAAGTGTTTTATAAAGATGGTGAGTGGGTCTTTAGTGGTGAGCCCAAGGGCTATGTATTTTGTTCTGACCATTGTAGCATTAGTGTCCACCTGAATTAAGTCATAGGAAGTATGGGTGGTCAAATTTGCAGATGAACCCAAGTTATGGGGTGGAATTAAAAGACTGAGCAGGTAAGAGAATGACTGAGGGTAAAACTTTGGGGGAAATATAAAGTCTTGTTCTTTAATTCACAAAGTCAATTGCCCAAGGGTAATATGGGGGGAAAATGTGGCCTGTGAGCCAGTTTAAGTAAAAAAGACTAAGAAATTTTACTTGACTTCAAGCTCATTATGAGCCAATAGTGTTGTGATATGGTTGGCAAATAAAGAAGTGATCCAATTGTCTTAGTCCATGTGGGGTTGTTATAGCAAAATTCTACAGATTGGGTAGCTTATAAACAACAGAAATTTTTCACATTTCTGGAGACTGGATCCAGGTGCTGGCCTGGTTGCATTCTGGTGAAGGCCTCTTCCTGGTTCATAGCCAGCACCTTCCTGCTGGGCCCTCACATGGTGGATGGGGCAAGGGATGTCTCTGGAGCCCCCCTCTCTTTTTTTAAAGGTATTTTTTTTTATTGATTTCAGAGAGAGGAAGGGAGAGAGAGAGAAACATCCACCGCTGCCTCCTGCATGCCCCCTACTGAAGATTGAGCTGGCAACCCAGGCATGTGCCCTAACTGGGAATCAAATTGGTGACCTCTTGGTGCGTGGGAAGACACTTAACCATCTACGTCACACCTGCTGGGCTTTGGAGCGTCTTTTATAAGAACACTAATCCTATTTATGAAGGCTACCTCCTCATGACCTAAGCACTTCCCATCACCTTTGGGAGTAAGAATTCAACATGAATTTTAGGGGTACATATTCAGACCATAGTACCAATATTCTTATGTATGTATTTATAGAAGTACTGTGCCATGGCTGAGAAAAGGGGGCTACCGCTCTTGGCTTTGATGAGAATCCTTCTTCCAGCCTTTAAAAACCGTCACTTCAGACACCCTAGGAAGCTAGATGGAGAGTGTCTGGAAGATTTCCAACAGGAAATGTTGAGAAAAGGTTAGGGGGAAGAGCATGTCATGGAGGGCTTAATAGATCTAAGATGTTTTAAGTGGTATTATAGCTGTCATGGAAGGGAAGGCTTGGAATAGTTTTATTGTTTTCAGAGATGATTCTTGAGAAAACCTTTAATTAGTATGAGCTACCTCAAGGGGAAGAGGTTGCTTGGTTGAAGTAGTGAGAATTCCATTAGGGAAACTGTTTATACAGATAATGGACAACATCTTCTGAGGGTTGCTTTTATCACAATTATTATTGTGTTTCTCTTATTTTTCTAATATCAATCAAGCATAAATGAATCAGGAAGCTTTAATAGAAAAAATGATAAAAGATTTATTCAAGGGTCTTAGAGTTTGCCAACTGGAAACACAGCTAGTTAAAACCTAGAACTGTTCTGAAGAAAAAGAAGAGTTAAGAGTTCTTATTGTAAAAGTCACATCTTTGAGAATAATCAGTCTTGCATTATTGGCCCTTGTATTGATCCAGGACAGTTATCAGCCAAATGCCATGTGTCCAGTTGTGTGTCACTCTGTATCAGGGGTCCTCAAACTACGGCCTGCGGGCCACTTGTGGCCCACCGAAAACATTTATCCGGCCCGCTGGGTGTTTTTGCCGCCGCTGTGTGCATAGGAATTTGTTCATAGTTTTTTTTTTAAACAATAGTCCGGCTCTCCAATGGTCTGAGGGACAGTGAACTGACCCCCTGTTTAAAAAGTTTGAGGACCCCTGCTCTGTATGATAGATGCCAGGTGGTCTGGAGGCTGGGTGCCAGGTGGTCTGGTCAACTAAACATTTTTTCCCCCCTAAATCCTTAAGGGCTGTTAGAAGGTTATCTTATAGGATTTATACATGTATATTCCAGGCACAACTGGAAGATTCAAAGGTTTAAGTTCCCGGATAGTGAAAGCAAGAATAGAATCATTTTTCAAGGCTCAGCCTACTTGATTTTAACAATTCAGCAGCTTGACCATAGAGACTCCATTTTATTTCTTCACTCTGTTCCTCACTACCTGCATTTTATTTCCTCTCTTTCTAAGAGATTCGTTTCAGGTGACTCTATTGAACCTTCAGAGAGTTTGATGTAAGAGGGTAATACGGCGACTCCCATTGGTCTGGAAGAAAGAATTCATCCCAAAGGTCATGGAGTACCATATCACCTGTTCATGTTCACATCAGTGTTTGCTTCCTGCTAAATGGAGGAAGCCAGTGGAACAACATTTTGTCCTATATTATAAACTGATTTTCTTGCCCATCAAAACTAGAACTAGGCCAACACGATTTAATTTTTTCTTTGTTTAAAGTTTTAGGCAATGAAACATCTTATTAAAAACTATAGGCCTGGTGCATGAAATTCGTGCACTGGGGGTGTGGAGGTCCCTCAGCCCAGCCTGTGCCTACTCGCAGTCTGGGACCCCTCACTCCTTACTGCCCTCCTGCTTGCTGCTCCTTAGTGATGCTGCGGAGGTGGGAGAGGATCCCACCACCGCTGCTGCGCTCACCAGCTGTGAGCCAGCTTCTGGCTGAGCGGTGCTCCCCTTGTGGGAGCACACAGACCATCAGGGCGAAGCTCCTGCATCGAGCGTCTGCCCCCTGGTGGTCAGTGTGCATCATAGCGACTGGTTGTTCCACTATTTGTTTGATTTGCATATTAGGCTTTTATTATATAGGATGTAAGGACCAAACTGTCCCTGTGGGGTAGATAAAATATCTGTGGCCTCAAGGAATAAAAAGAGTTGGTAAGTAAAGTATTAGGGTCAGTTACATATTCTTTCTATGCCTATTTTTTTCTATCAGTGAGATGACAATAAGCTAATTTACTTAAAAATTACTTTATAATGGATGACTAAAAGATACAAAAAATGATACTTCCCTCTTGGTTGGGGAAGAGGCCAAATGAATTTCCTCTGATAGAAGTAGAAGAAAGCATTTAGAAGGTAATACGTAACTGCATATGAGGAAGTAGTATGATAACTCTACTCAAGGTCTTACACAAAAAGAGTATTAGATTTTCAAAAGAAACAGAGATAATGTAACACTCTTAGGTTTAGATAAGATTCTACTTCAAATGAATTTTTCCCCCCACTTTTCTTTCTTTCTTCTGCATCAGTGAACTTTCACTGATGCTTATTGGGCACGACAGTCTATGAGGCATACCAAGTGTGTTTCAGAACAGAGATGAACTGGTACTCTGATATTTGTGGAGGGTGTGGTGAGAGCTGGAGAGCCATTGTATTGCCTGAGAAATGTTGCTCTAGACATGCCCCTCGAACTTTTTTAAATTTCATTGTTCAATATCCTACTTATATTCATTTCCAAATTTTCTTTTTAATCTTTTCCCAGATCTTGAACTCAAAATGATAACTTTAGCTTCCTCATTGACGTCCTTTGATCTTATAATAGAGCTGAAAGGGCAGGGATGCAATATGTGAATAGCAAACTGCCACCCAGGAGACTGTCATTCCACATTGGTAATAATAGCAGATATTTATTGAGTAACTCTCAGAGCTTTGCTAACCACTTCCTATGTATTACCTGATGCAGTTCCCTTAACAACACTA